AACACGTTTCACTCGTACGGTCACGTTCAAAATCCTGGCTCATTAACCCTAGGCACTAGTGTTGTGATTGTACATCGGACAGTTAGCTACGTTTTGCATCATGGAGCTCCAAATTGTTTAAGAAACTTGTGATCCTTAATGAAGTTTGGATTTTAGATGAATTGATAGAGTGAGGTACCTTTGTGAGACATGATATTGAGTTTTATCTTTTGGCAACTTAACTTCTTGAGCACTACGGTAAACTGTAAACACAGATCTATCTGAGAGATCGAGGGAAGACGATTCACAAACTTGCCCAAGTGGGAATCGAACCCACAACCGTCTGCTTACCAGAGACACCTGAGAGTGTTGAGCACGTTAGTCATGGCGTTTGATCGCTTCCGACAATGGGCCGAGGAGAAACTGAACTCGGTCTTTGGAGATGAGGAAGATGCTTTGAAAGCAGACGAACCCCCAGCAGAGACGGACACGACCAATCAGAATGAAGACAGTGCCCCTGATGAAAAGGAGGGCGAGCATGACAACAAGGGGATTTCCTCGTTTCTTGGGTTGCCAGATTTTCTGTTGAGAAAGGGCGACAGCACCAAAGATTTGGATGGTAGTACGGATCGCGACAGCGGGACCTGTATGTCTGAAGGTATGTTCAGGCGAAGTGACGTCACTACAAAGCATCCAAGTTGTCTAGATTCGGTTTTTAAATACCAGAACTGCATTTTTCAAAGAGATTGGCTTACATACATGATAACATCCCTTTTTTGTTTGACAAGAAACATAACAGAATGAATGTGGATAATGTCACGCCACACCACAAGTATGAAGTGAACAGTTCCTGTTGCGTGCACTGCAATGTGGGACAGTTTTTACCCAAATTCTAAACAAAATCACTGTAGTAGCTCCGAGTACATGTACATGTGTTAATTTTTTGTAATGGTGAGGGAGGGGGGGGGGAGGCATGTGTGTCACCACCCAGTAGAGGGGGGCAGGGGGTACTTGTTGGCAAGTGGCAGTTCTACCGGGGGGAGGGGGGGGGGGGCTAGGTATTTTGTCTAGCCCCCCCAGAAAAATTCCATAAAAAAAATAGCACTAGCAATATGTAAGAATGTGACGTACCGTGTGAACGGTCTCCCCCGAAATGAATAGTCGTGAGAAGGGTGCATTTGTAATAATATAGTGTTCCTGATTGTAGGATTTTATCAGTGTGCTCCTCATTGAAAATACGCCCCCCCCCCCTCCCCCCACTATTGATTTTTGGAGGCTTAAGTGTGCGGAGAAAATAACCGGTCTACATTTCAGCACGCCTCCCAGAAAACTCTGGATCCATCCTGCTAGCCCCCCTAAAATATTGGCTCTAGAACCGCGCCTGCTTGTTGCAAAAAAATGTTTGTCCATACGCAAATATGGCAGTGGCACCATGAATAATGTCACTTTTTGTCCGAATGTCGTTGGCTGTGAACATCGCATCCCCCCCCCCCCCCATTATTCAGATGGTGTCCAACCCCTCCTACCCCCGTCCTTTAATCTTGAAGCGGCGGGGTGACTGGATAAACATTCGTAGCAACCTTCCGGCATGGAGTGGTCTTTCAGCAAATTTGTTGTCACACCCCAACTTCTGACTGGACTACGCCCCAGCCACACCCAACCATGACCCCACGTCCCAGCCCTGCCACGCCCTTCCCCTCCTGCCCATGAAGAAGAAAGCCGAGAGAAGTAAATTGATAAACTGGAAATAATCAAATTATTGCAATAACTTGATGTGCCGGTATTTGAAGAATGTTGGGAGCATTGGATAAAAAGGTCATGTAGAAAGTGCCTTGAGCAAATCTGGATCAACAACAGAGATGGAGGATGACTTGAAATTGAAATGAATTTCATACAGACATATTACATGGATAACTGTTTAATAAGTTGATAACTATAATAGAACACCAGCTTGGGATTAAATATTTTAAGTGCACTCCCCCCCCCCCCCACTATATTTAGCTTTAGCATGTTCTATATCATTGTAACAGTTCATGGGTTGCTCATAAATGTTCAAAAGATAATCGCACAACAATTGAATTGACGGCATCTAAAAAAACACATCTTGCAGCACCATTGCTCATGAAGATGGAAGTTGAGCACAAGCATTTAGAAATCCTGGGCCACCCTCAGAACTTGCAATGCAAATACTGAAAATGATAGCAAATTTATAAAAGACATGATTATGAAGGATTCCATTAAAATTTCTATTATTTGGGCCCTTTAAGAAGACATGATTTAAACACAATTGGCTGGCATTTAACCATAATTCTGGCATTCCAAGGGTGGGTGGGGGGAAGGGAGTTATAATGAGCAGGAATGTTTAAGTCGATTTATTCTTAGATCAACTGGCTGAAATCCTGTTGTGGTTTTTGGTGATGCCTGTAGCCTATATATATGCCTGTAAAAAAAAACCTGAAGAAGTTAACATGAATTACTAGTAGGGCTGAAAATAGCTACTGAACCAATTCCAGTGGTTTAGGAATCAGTTTTATGTGTTTTGTGAGAGAGAAGACCAGTGGTTCATACTGTTGATCATAATTTCACAAATACTTCAGTGTTGGTCGCATTTGACCAAGTGCATTGTAAAACGTTAATTTTTTATGTTATAAATTTTCCGTTGACCATTATAGTAACAGTGAAAGAATAATGCATGATTTTGTACGCAGTGCATGACTTAAAGGGAAGATACAACATTTGCAAACATCAAAAAACGAAATGATCAAATTATCACGAAATATCTCACTGGATTGTTAGGGAATGACAGCCTAAAGCATCCTTAAAAGTTGCGGCTCCTGGTGTGCTGACATTTTCAACAAAAAGTGTATTTTTCCAACGCTGGTCGGCTGGTCGGCCGACCAGCGTTGGAGAAAACTGGCTTTTTTCATATTTCGCTCCTAATTTTTCATATATAGTTCGTCTACGTTTTCTTTGCAATTGATTACACACCTGTGAAGACTACAAGCCTGCTAGACTGATTCTCATGATCTTACAATTCCCCAAAGCCTATATTGCTCCGGTTCATCTTAAGTGGCGTCAGGGAACCAGACCACAAGAATATGATTGGTTTTCTTGGTTTTTCCAGCATCTACAAACCCAAAACATGAAACAAGTCAGTGTAACAATATTTGCTATAACATACTAATCCTCCAAATCCATTTATTTCTGAAAATTGCAGAAAAAACAAATGTTGTACATGTACATTCCCTTTAACCTTTAGCACTTGTTTTACATTGTACAACACTATATTTGTTAAAAAATATTCATAAATACCTTTTTGGAATCAAAAATATTGCAGCGACGTAGCTTTTGATGTCATCGCGACATCTTCATTGAGCAGAGTGAACCACTCCGGTCATGTGACCACCACCTTTTGTATGTTTTTTGAGACTTACAAAGATAGCCGCGCATGCACATGCGCTAAGCCTTGGCAGTGGCTTTCAGCCGGAACCTATGGGGAGGAGGCAAAAGTATTTTAAAGGTACCGGTATCAACAAGGTCTGTTCTGTAACAGATTCTCCCAAATCGTAAGGGAACCGTAGGCAATTGAGAGTTGAAAAGGGGGGGGGGGGGGGCAATTTGAGCTTCAAAGTAGCTGAAACTCAATTTATTGCCGTTGGGGGCGTTCTACAGCTAGCTGGCGCAAAAAAAAAGGCACTATTTTGGGGCCTAATATCAACCTCGGATAATTTTTTTCTTTCAATTTTTTTTTGATGGAATATGAATAATCAATACTTTCTCTTTGCCCTTAAAGTGGTTTGGGGGAGCATTGCAAACTTTCGGGCCTATTAAAGGGTGCACACTGGTAAATAGGGCTAAACCCATCCGCCAAGCTCATGAATGAAAGTTATACCCTCAAAATATTCTATATTAGAGAGTTCTGAGAGCCATACAATTGGGGAATTGAAGAGATATGGCAATGTTCTGGCCCGGACTTGGGGCTGCCAATTCTGAGTATTTTGGATGCAATTGGGCTCGAAAGTGGTACTACATTATATTTTGCCATGTTGTGGAGGGATCATATTTCAAGGTGGCTACTTTTCTGCTTTGGGAAAATTATGGGTTGTCTTCTTTGGGTGAGAATTCCTCAATAAGTCAATAGTCAACCCACCAAAATATGAATAGAAAATGGCAGGTGACGTGTTGATCATCATTTTTCTGTGCAGCTTAAATACCTGTGAGAGTTCTGAGTACATTTTTGTATTTTTTAAAAGAATTTTGAAGTATGGGCATTTAGCACTAGTGTCTATGGGAATTTTAATGCAGGGGTGCACCCATAAGGGTGAGGGGCACCCATAAGGGTGAGGGATACAGAACTATGAAGGTCACTATTATTTTGCATTGTGACTTTAAACAAAATGGGAAATTCTTATTTCAGTTGACAAAAAAAATTATCACTACTACGTAAGTAGTTGTATAATTCATGCAAGACTTTCATGCAAGATGGCGCCAGAGCTTATCGTGCATTCGCACATGTTTAAGAAAAGGGTTACCAGCCAAAATATTGTATTGCCTGTGACTGGTACTGTGCAGATTATTGCAACAGCACAAAAAAAGTTCCCAAGCAAACACTGTTGGGGTAATTCTGTTGACCTTGTTAAATGCAGGGTGAGAAACATGTTAGCCCTGCAGTGTGACATTTATATGATAGCCCTTCATTGTGCATGCATTTATTAATGGGCAATTATTTGTCTTGACAAGAGCTTAGCGAGCGTAAAATCTGACCCCCAAAATGCGAGGCATGGTGTGTTGACATAAACTCATAAAGCGAGTATTGGTGACTACTTGTTGTACCTCCCAACCTCCTCAGACTTTCTGTGACCATGTGACCTACAGGGGGTATGGTAGCTGTTGTGTTATGTCACTGATGCATGCATACCACTGGCTGTGTGCTAGCTTATGCAGCATTACTGGTCTTGTGCTAATACTGCATGTGTGCATGCTGATTGCTGCATGATGTATACCGGTACATATAACTGTGAATCAAAGCACCCTGACACAACAACTGTGTTTTGTGTAGTTTCTTTCCATGCCTGCAATGCAAGAAACTGGATTGAGGAAATAGTACTGGCAAGGTTATGAATCTGAATCTGTGATGAGACAAGTCTTCAAGGTGTGACAGTGTGATTATACTATAGTGAAGTACATTGTAGGCGTGTACACTCAACCAACCAAAGTGTGCACGAGGAACAGTTGGTGATGTGAACTAGTATTTGTAAGCTGTTGAGTACATTAACTCCAGCTGTACAGGGTGAAAGATTAAATACATGCTTACACAAAGTCTGCAAAAATTTGGCATGTGACTCCAATGCTCCAAACTATGGCATGTGACTCCCAACTATGTTGCATGTGACTTCAAACTTCTGCCTAACTGATTATTAGAAATGCGGTCGCCTGATAAATCATTTACAAGCTGAGTTGCTGCCATCACATGATTTGAATTAACTTCCCTGGGAATATATTCTTCTGCAAAATCAGAAATTCTCATTGACCGAACAGCCATGGGGAAGAAAAGCAGCTTGTGTTGCTGCTGCCGACGTTCCGTCGATGATCTTGACGATGAACACATCACCAGCACGCCGAATGAGAACACCCCGCTGATGTCCTCTGGTCTCACGACGGTCTCGGAACTCGAAAAGTCAGTGAAAAATGGCCAAAATGGCCAAAATAGCAAGCCTCAGCGCTGGTCCGATATTCCAGACGTCCTTGTTATTAGCGCGACGGAGAAATGCGACAAGGGCCAACAGGACAAAAGTGACGCGGAGAGGAGGATTTCTTCCCAAAGCAATCGTAGCAGCAAGGAATCCATGCACTCTGGAAAACCTGAAACACAGAATGAAAAAGGGAACGTTCTCGCATACGCATTTAAAACAGTGGGCGATCTAACTGTCGGCACTGCAACTGGTAAGACAGGTTGTCATGTGGGTTTTTTTTAATGCCAATAAGAAGGGAGACATTTTGGTTTGGAGTTAAGTTGTGTAAGGCAAAGCCAATATTAGAAGGCTAGTTTAAACACTCCCAATGGATGTCATACCTAAATGTACACTCATAAAGTTAGTCCAAAAATTTGGGACTCCCATACTGTGTATGAGAGTCCCAAACTTAAAGGGAATATACAACATTTGCAAACATCAAAAAACAAAGCTACTACCACATGTTTACGAAAAAGCTTACTACTACTAGGATGTTGGTAAATAAAGCATCCTGTAAAATAATGGCACCTGGTGTGAAGTCATTTTCAAGAAAAGTGGTGTTTTTGTATAAATTTCAAACGGTGGTCAGCCGACCACCGTTGGAAAACCTAACTATTTTTCAACTACTGCTCCAAATTTACCATTTCTTTTTTCAGTCCAAATTTTGTTTGCTATTGGTTACATGTTCATGAACGGGTGCAGGCCAGCTACACTGGTTTCCTTACCTTACAATTTTTCCGCATCTAGAAATTGATCCATTTCATCTTTAGTGGAGTCAGGGAACCAGACTTCTTGAACACTTTTGTTTTTCTTGGTTTTTCTAGCGTTGTCCAACTCAAAACTTCAAACATGTCAGTGTAACAATATTTGATCTATTAGGGAGGTTTGGCAAAGACTTCTCCTTTGTTGGGCTTGTGTGCTACCATCAGGTTATTATTAACCATTTCTGGTAATGAAACCAAGGATTCCTCAAAAGTGTCCTAGGCACTGCAGTGCCTAGGATGCTTTTGAGGAATCCTTGTGTAGCCCGCAAGCCTAAAGAAACCTGTGGAGAGAAGACAACGTGGAGAAGTTATTCTGGGGAAAACCATGGAGTCAGGTAGGGACTGAAAACCCAATCCACATATTGGCCCAGGCAGGATTCGAAGCCGGGTCACAGTGGTGGAAGGCGAGGAAAGTACCGCTACGCCAACCTGACTCCCCAGATACAAATGTGGTGTAAGGGTTGAATGCAGTAACCTGACGCCACTGTTTTCACCATTTATAACCTGAATTATGATCAGTCTTCAGTTGTACATACAGACAAGTGTCACATGCCTCAGAGTCAATTCACATCCTCACACACCGGACAATCATAATCACACACCCAACGCTAAAAACCATATTTTGGGGTTGTTTTCGGGACCAGAATACAGAAACATGTTTTGTGTTTGGGTTAAGTGTTTTGGCGACTTGGGTTCTTCAGTTCTGCACGAAGAGTCCCTAGGACCAGCCAGGGGCCTGGTGACGAGATTACAGTATGTTTAGTGCTGCACTCCTGAAGTAAACTTGCAGCTGTAAACTTACAGTACGCTTGCATAATGTGCCAACAAAACATGTTGTTCAGTAATTCCTGCAGATGTAGTTGATGCCCCCCTCTTACATTGTGTGGCCCCTAATGTGGCGCGACCCCTAACGTGGCGCGGCCCCTAACGCGGTGCACTTTTGATTTTTTGCTCTAGAGCCTTGCTGTAGAGAAAACAGTTTACCTCAGATTTCACATGTAAATGAAACTTCATCAAGCTGTAAATATTTCCTTTCATAAATCTTGAGTTTATGTTGATGTTACAAAGCTTACCCAGAAATTTTATTTTGGCGTCCTTCCCTGATTTTTCCTCTTTTTTTTTGAGGTGCACAATGAACTCTTTTACAATGCGCCCCAAAATAACACAATAATTTGCTGACAAACTTGTTCCAGTAGTTTGTTACAGGAGTGGAGATAATGATGATTTTCACAATTTGTCAACTTTAAAAATTCTTAAATTTATCTTAACTTTGGATTTTCCGAGATTTGTTCAAGTGCGCCAAGTTAGGGAACACTCGGCCAATTTTGTGCCCAATTTCCGGATGCCAATTTACATTTGGGCCTTTGCCGCTTGCACTGTCCCACGCCCATGTTTTGTGTGATCTTGGCATCTCTGCACATGTGAACGCTTAAAAAATGAATTTGTAAAAAAAAAAATGTTCCCGAGCTCACGTAGACTTTGAACACAACTGCGAAAGTGACATTCTTTCCATAATATTGATTTACGGGCTTCTCACCATTCATGCGTGTAATGTGGCCTTCGTTGTGGGAAATTGGACCCTTGGCACGAATTCGGATTTGTGCACCAATGAAAGAAAATGTCCCCATTTGTCAGCCGAGCATGTCAGAACGTAATCTACCCCACCTCTACCCCGACCTCTCTCACAGCTTGTCTAATGTTGGAACCCTGTTGACTTTATTTGAATGTTATACAGGGTGGATTAAAAAAAACACGAAACCCAGATATTATTGCTAATTGGAACAGAAGTAGGGCACATGTTAATCAAAGGGAGATATCTTCTGTTAGGGTTGAATCTCTTCTTTAAGATAACACCCTGGTCATGTCATTACATTCACGGTTGACTGAGCAGTGACCAATTTTATGAAAGGGTCTATTTAGAGAATTGCTTCTGTTCCATTTAGCAATAATATCTCAGTTTCGTGTTTTTTTATATCCACCCTGTAAAGTTAAATCTGCCCAGCCTCTGGGCTCCCCAGTACAACACTGATTGGAACAAGCGAGGTCTATATTGTTCTACTTTTATGAACAGCTCTAGACACCTACCAGTAAACTTGTCCATATGTTGGTTTTCAGTGGATTCATCATGTCTAGAGTGATTTAAAGATGAGATTTATTTTAGTAAAAATATATCTGGTTCGTTTGGAAATTTACACTTTATGCCAAGGGGGTTGTATTTTTGAAATTCCTAGAGAACTCGCAATGTAGTTTTGCCAAGGAATTGTAGTAATCGCGAATTGTTAAAGGGGCGCTTTTGAGAGAAACACCCATTTGGGCATTAACAACGTAATGATGATACATGTAGTTGGAATTGGAAAGATTGTTAAAAAGTAGAATATGAACATTCACACAACTATTAAACATGAACCTTGATGTGCTGTTTTTGTGTATAGTAGCATTAATGTGCAAAGGATTTTTGAGGTACAAAATATTTGGCCTCAAAAATCATATAACCCATGTTTCTCTTTATAAACATTCTTTAAACATGTGTTGCACTATACATGGATCGCAGTGAATTTCACAGTGAATGGAAAACATTTTATGCAATGCCAATCTTTTACCCGAAATACGTTGACTAGTCTTACTATTTACAGGACTGTGATCTGACTCTTGTTTTTGCAAGCCTGTACATACAAATGCATGGCAGGGGAAGTGGACATTTGCTTTTACTTTCTGTGACTGATCAATCAATATTTTTCGTTCCCATATGTTACAATACTATTTTTTTTTTAAATGCCATGGCACCAAACTATGAATATTTATGAGTTGCTTGTCCTCTTGTGAATCAGGTTCGCTGGCATCATGTGCTGGTACTAGGTACTGTGCTTTACAACGCCATAGGTAATTTATGCTCTGTGTCGTAAAATACATGGTACACTGCGTTCTGCAGCAGACTGTTAATGATTTACACACAGGTTCATATGCAACTTGTTTGTTGGGAACGGTCGTCTTCAAACTGGTTAAAAGTGTGATGTATAACAGAACTAACTTGTACAAGTACGAATGTGTAGATATCCATATGTTGCTCCGACAAAATTTTATTTTGTGCTGAAGTCAGAAGTACATGCACGACAAAACTATGTACATGTATGTTGTTTCATATTGGAATCGTAAACTATGGTGCATTGGGTTTTGAAACTGCATTTTTGGAAGAAAGACATGATATCACTGAGTTGACTTTGGAGTGTGTGTATGATGACGGCATTGTGGGCTTGTAAGGATCATGTCACTGGCTGATCTCCTCCGACGCTACATGACCTGGTGTAGCTGCTCCGACCTGGCTTTCAGCGAGACGAGCTCCGAGCTGTCTTACGGCGACCCGACCCCTCTTCTCAAGGACTGGTGTATCATCCCGTCGGCCGGGGAACGCTTCCAAACCGAGTTCTCACGTAGGCCCGACGATGCTTACTCCAGCTCCTCAAGCACCCCAGATATCATTCTAACGCGGGCTGACTCGATCTCCGAATACCTCTACAAGCGGCCTCCTTCCCCCAAACCTCCAAGGCAACGCCCAGTTGATCCCAGATCGGGCGCTGCTAGATACCACAGCCACTCCAGTCCTGCTTCAAGTGCGGTGAGACAACATAGAACTGGAGATCCCGAATACGGTGCAATGGGTAAACTGACCCACCAAAGAGTACCACAACAATATTCCTATGAACCTATTGATGATGAATATTATTTCACTAGAGAAAGTCGTACCTCCCATGGTAAGTCTTAATGCATTGTAACAACTTCAACCACAATATTAGTGAATGTCATCTTTTTTGTCTCCAAATGTCTGAAAATTTGTTCTGATGTTTCAGTGTTTTCTCAAAACCAAGGGTGGGGTCAGTCATAGGAGTGTGGCCTAGTGGTTAGGGTTCGTGACTCATGATCAGGGTTTCAGGGGCTCAAATCTAGCCACTGGCCAAATGTTGTGTCCTTGGGCAAGCTACTTCACCCCTACTTGCCTCTCGCCACTCAGGAGTATAAACGGGTACCGGTACCAGCTGAGGAGTAACCTGCGGTGGTCTGGCATCCCATCCAGGGGAAATGCAAACATTCTCAGTCCCTTCATGCCAAGGAAACTTAAGATAAACGCCGACCTGATGGGCAATACAGGCTCATGACAGAAATTGTTTTACTTTAGAGGTGTGCATAGGATGGTACTTGTATCAGGAAATACTTTTTGTTTAAATTGCAGTGATGTTTGTTTGGTAATTATTTGACATTCACTCTGCCAATGTGTAATTTTCTGTTCAAATTTGGATGTAAGATAATGATATTGACACTGAATAGAAATTTCTAACTAAATGTGTGATTAGTCGTTTAATAATACCATTTTTTTCTTTTTTTAATATTTGAACAATGAAATTGACTATAGGGGGCTTGAATCTGCGACCTTTCTGTACTCAACCAACTGAGC